CCCCCCCAATTCGCTTGCAGTGTCACTCGCCTGAAAATTGGTAGTCAACTGTCCATGAAATTTAATTTTTGTTCTAACAGTGACATTGACACTTTTCTGTTCATTGCAACAATATTTTCGTCAAAGGTTGACAAATTCATATTTAATGATAATGTTTCAGTTCCAATTAATAATTTACTTAATGTTTATAAATTCGTTTCCTTTAACGGTTAAACAATTATATCTTAAAAATAATTTTGGTGGCGTTAAAAGTAGTGGTCATGAAGCAGAATTCGAAGGGAGCGAGATAAATTCAAATTCCGATCCTTAGCTTTATTTATTCCACTGTTCTGAAGATTGCGTATCAATTTCAAGGCGATCCAATTATTTTTAGTTATTATGTAGACTTTCAAACGGCAAAATCCTTTTCTTTTTTCGTTTTTTTAAATTCCCTGCCGTATTGGATGGCCGTAAATGGGTAAAAACTAATTTTTTACTGACCACATATGTGAAAAAAATTTCACGGAGTCCATTTTTTTATCGCGCGACTTTCAAATTGCAGCAGTGTTCCCCTTTCATGAGATTAACCCTGGTCTGGTTATCTTACTCGGCCCTGCGACTTTGGTCACGTCGCGAGGCATTCCGCGCAATGTTAACGGCGCTGCGACGTTGCCAACCCCTTGGTCTTTACCGAGTCTTTCAGTCGGTACCGACTCGCTGCGTAAGGAGTGGGGGAACGCCCTGGAGAGGGACTGGCGACGTCGCACGACGAAAGCTTTTGTGGATTCTCTCTCCCATTATTATTCTCTCTGAGACTAATTATTGAATTGATAGAAGGGTCAAAAATTCTATTAAATTCTAGACATTCCGATTGACAAAGTCAAATTTTTTCAGAATTTTCCGAACTATCGTTTACTTGTATAATAAAAAAAAAATTACGGAAAAAGGTGGGGATGACTAGTGACTGAATAGTCTTGAATTGAGATACAAAAAATGTCTTTATAGTTTTTACAATAATTTGACTAGTTTTAACCCCTCAACAACCTCTCGAAGACGAAATAAATTCTCTTACGGTCCAAAGTAATGAAACTCGATCCACTCAGGCAATATAGACCCATCCCACTGCGAGGTGTATTTCCCCGATACAAAAATAGAGCGAGAAAAAGCGCGGAAAAGTGGATATACTGGTATAGATGACGTTTAAGTGCTCCAGGAAAGAGGATTATACGTCATGGAGCAGAATGAACCCGTCGATGTTTGGCTCTTCACAATATTTACCACTTCTCCTTCCCCTGTCTTACTCTCCCATGAATAATGAAAATGAAGTCTATAATAGAAGTATTAGACTGCGGCATGGAATTCCGCATTATCAGGCCATAAAAATGATAAATAAATTCCATCCCAGAGGCATGGACAGGAGTATGAAATTGCGGAGTGTGAAGCACAGAGTGAGGGTGTTGAGAATGAGACGGAGCGTGTGGTATAGCGATAAAGCAACGGACGATTAACAATGGAATTGTTCCACCAGTGTTATGCGAGGTGTTGGGTGTCCCGTGGGGGAGATTATCATCATTCTTGCGGTATTTTTAATTAAGATGGTGTTTGCCATTGTTTTTTTTAATCCAATGTACTTCATCCTGAATTGTAAATTCACACCTTTAGTTTATTAACGTTTTTATGAATGGAGCGAATGTTTTAAATTAGAGTGAAATGATTCTCTTGATGAATTATTAGAATTTTTAATTGTTAAAAATTTTATTCTCCTGAAATTTGGTTCAAAACTGGTTTGATTTTGTTGTTACATTAAAAGAAAATTATAGTACATATTTTACTGTTTCAACCAGAAATCATCAGAATATTCCCTTTTCAATTATAAAACAAGTGGCACATTGCTCAGGCACACATATTGAGTATAGTTTTTTTGCTAAAAAATTATCAATTTGCTTCCGAATGGATCAATCGAATTTCAAAATATGTCAATATCGCACGAATTTTAGAGAAATGCTATTTCCTTCAATAGCGCGTTTCCATAAACATTCAAGTACTTTTCATCAATTTCATAGATTTTCTGTATAAAATTCGAAAAACTGTTTCTAGAACGAAAAGTTTCCCTATAAAAGTTGTGACGAGAGTCAAACCTCGTCCCTTAAATAACTAGTAAAACTTACGAACTTAGTAGAATCAAGTAATACTTAATGGAGAGGTAGTGGAACCTCTACCTTCCTCCCTTTTGGTTAGGGTTCTGAATGTAAGTGTACACATGAACCATTACGGGGGGGACATGAAGAGCTTCAGCGACCCGAAGGATGTCAAACACCTCTGGAGAATGACTAGGATCATTTTCCTTAAAACCATGAGGAGTGAACCCGTTGATCCGGTAAAACCTCGAATAACAGCTCGAGGTTAGGGAGAACGAAAACCTCATCAGAACCCGAAGAACACTGCCACTAACACTTCTTGCTGTTGCAGTGATGCGGGGGGGGGGGAACACCTATATTCCTGGATGGACCTGATACCTGCTCGAATTGCTTGGACTAACCGAAAAATCCAGACATCATCGTCGACAGATGACAGTTGGCTAGCCGGCCAATCAAGAGGACGTCGATAAATGAGGTCAGTGACTAGTTGACCGGAGAGACGTTGCTCCCAACCTTGACCCTGGAGGCGCTATGGTTGGGTTAACTACCAATGGGAAAGTAGAGATCACCCACGTGGGTGAACTAATTTGAATAATTGATACCCGGCGGAGCCATTACCCGGACTAATTGGAGCAAAGCAATAGTTTATGGACC